CTTTACTCTCTTACTCGTGATTCGTGAATGTATTTTCGTCTTGAATTTGGATCCATCAACAAAAAAGTTTACAAGTTAATTGATTTTTTTTATTCATACTCTTTAACTGTTATGTTTGTGTTTTTATTCTAATGGAAAATGCATCTCTTTATAATGTGCTAATTTTGTGTATTATTTTTCCATCTAAAAATTATTGAATATTTACTTTATACATTTTATTAAGAATAGGAATCTATTATTTTTATGAAATGGAGAAAACTTTATTCCATTGTTATTTAGTTATTTCAATATATACCTTCATCTGTGAGTGTATTTGATCTCTGAGGGGTACAAATTGGTTACGCAAGTGTGGTGGTTTTGGATATGTATAATCCTAACAACCAATAACTAATAGGGGGCAACATCTTCATGATGTGTTTCTTCCGTGCGAATGTTTTTCGTGGTTGTCGCGGTCAATCTTAATCAAAGTTCCGGTCAATACAATCAGCTGTTCTTCGATTCCTTTCGTTAAAAGAAATTGAAAAGCCAAATGCGGAAATGCCCAACACGGACAATTACTCACAACCGCGTTCTTCCTGTAGAATCTTCAATGCCTTTCCTTTCTATATAACCAGTCATTCCCTTCTCTCTGTCTCACAATTCACCCCCTTCTCCATACCCTATTACATATTCTGTTCATTCTTTTTTTAATCTGCATTCAACAACCATGGCCGATAAGCAACCCCAATTGAACGGTGCGTATTACGGTCCCGCCATTCCCCCGGCGGAGCCACCACGCTACCGCCCTCACCGCGAGAGAAGCTGCTGTTGCTGCCTCTTCGGAATCTTGTGGAAGATTCTGGTTGCACTCATCGTGATTGTTGGCCTCGCAATCCTCATATTCTGGCTGGTGGTTCAACCCCGCTCCTTCAAGTTCCATGTCACGGAAGCTGAGCTAACCCAATTCGAGTTCAACTCCAACAACAACACCCTCCACTACAACATGGTTCTCAACTTCACTGCACGCAACCCCAACAAGAAGCTCAGCATCTACTACGATAAAGTAGAGGCATTAGCATTCTACGAGGATGCCAGGTTCTCGAATTACGATGTGATAACGCACATGAACTCCTTCCGCCAGTACAAGAAGAGCAGCAGCCCCATGAGCGCTGTTTTCTCAGGGTATCGAGTGCTGACACTAGACAACGATCAAGTTAATCAGTTGAACCAAGACAAGAATGATGGGGTTTACGACATCTATGTGAAGCTCTACTTCAGGATTAGATACAGGCTCGGAGACGTCATATCCGGTGACTTGAAGCCCAAGGTTAAATGTGACCTCAAAGTTCCCTTCGGTAACAATGGCACCGTAACTTTGTTTCAGGCCACCAAGTGCGATGTCGATTACTAGATACCACCTATTTCATTTCTTTTATTGATCCTGGATTTTTCTTTCTTTATCATTATTTTTTATTTTTAATAATCATTCCAGTGACTTTTGTCCATTCTTCCACTCTATGCTAGAATGTATACGGTTTCTTGAAATTTATATTTATTTATATTTTTAGTGCTTTAAAATTGTCTCCTGTGTCTAAACCCTATTCCACATATGTTGCACACCTCATACGTTTTTTTTATGACTTTTTTGTAACATTCTAGAACTACTTATAACAGGCTTAAGAAATATCTTTAAAGAGTAAGTCAAAGTGAAGATTTTTCTCTGCTTAGGTTACGTGTAATAGGATGAAAGAAAAACAATAAGGGAAAATTATAAAAATTTTCATTTTTTGTTTGTAGAAATTAATTTGAATCGTCTGTTTTTAATTTTATGTTAAATAAAAAATAGAATTCTTATTTATATATATTTTTTCTCTTTATTTTATTTCCTCTCATGTAAACCTACCATTAGTTTATATATTTATATTAATGTTGTGTTAGTAATACCTTAAATTAAATTGAGACTAGATGACGTGATTATTATCTGACCACTTTAATATTAGATTTAACTGCTTGGAAGTGATAAAAAGTAAAAGTAATTTCAACTGTAAAGAAAGATTAAGCAGTGATGCATCCATTATTTGGTATATATATATATATATATATAGATAGATAGATGTGTGTGCGCGCGCAAATAACGATACCCCGTCATCAATTTCAAAGGAATACGTTATAATAACAAAAATAAAAATAAAAAATCAAATATCACTCAGCAATGAAATGACACAAATAAAAACGATATAATCAGAAGGCTGAACCAATAATGACTCAAACTGATGAATAGTTTTCTTGATGGGGAAAAGTACTTTAAACTGAAACGAGCAATGTTACTTACTCACTTATGTCCTTCAAACAATTTAATTTGTTTAGAACGGGAAAACCTGCCCCATCCGTCGCATTGTGATAAAAATAGGCGGATAGGTTTGGTCCTTATAGTTATCATCGTTACAGATTTTAATTCGTCGTATTAAAAGATAAATCGCCAGATTAGTGAGTTACTCTGTAAATATTTTTTATATATTTTTTTTAAATATACTTTTAATCGTATAAATAAATTTTAAGTTTTTATTGATTAATTAATATTTTTATTAAAAAATATTATATTTATATGTTAAAATAATTAATTTTAATTATTAACTTAAATTTAATTGATTAATATTTATAATTTAAATTATAATACTATAATTTATTTATATATTAAAATATGCCATAAAAATTAATATTTTTAATTATAATTTATTTATTTTAATTTTAATATATAAATATTTTTTATAATAAACTAACGAGTCAATTTGTTTATCTATTCTTGACTCCTTAAATGTCTTCTATTTATTTTATCTAAAACAAAAAATAAAAAAAATGACTCATTTTATTTTTCAAAAATTATCTATTTTATAATATTTAATTGATTAAAAAATAAAATTAATCTTTTTAGATAGGACGGTCATGCTTAGTGTGTTACTCGTTATTTTTTTTAGAACGATTAAAATTTAATAAACAAAATAAGTTAGTGGATTAAAATTATAAATCCAGTTTGTTGAGTTTAACTCGTTTTACTCCTTTAAACAATGATGATAATTTGTATTTTTTTTGGTAAAGGGTGAGTATATAACTAATAATTAGGCATCAGAAACTCATTTTTAAATATATTTTTTTCGTTAAAATTTTAAAGATAATTTTTAAAAAATTTAGATAAAGTGTAAAACCGAGTAAAATACACTTATTATGAATTGAGTCATTGAAGATTATCCAAGAAATGTTAAGATATTTGGGACTACAAACTATGCACAAATATATTTATTTTGACTAATGGAAACACAAGAGTTACTTTCCATTTTATCATTTGATCTTCATCAAAAGTCGACATACCTAAAAGAAAAGAAAAAAAAGTCAAGTTAGAAAGAAAATATCTTTCAATCTACCCTGATACTTTGATTAATGTGTTTCAATTTAAGGAGATGAATAGATTTTTCATGAGAGAAAGTCATTACTTAAACAACATTGAAAGACTTCTAACTCATTATTTATTATCATTGATATAAATTTATTGAAGAGCTTTAAAAAACCTACAAATATTTATATAAAAAAAAAATAACAACAACAAAAAATATTGAAAAAAATCTCTTATAGAACAGCTTTAAAAGAACAAAACCCTCTTATAACGAGGAGGAAAAATAATAGTTAGAATCCTCGGTTCAAAGAATTACATTTTAAAATAATGATGACATTCATGATACATGTCCTATTTTTGGTCACACCTATTATAATTTATTAACAAATTATATTTAAGGGTGTTTATTTATTTATTTATTTATCAAAAAAAAAGCTTACTCTATTAATATAATAAATGACAAAGATAAATTATCCATCGATCACAAATTAGAAAAAAAAATCAATTGTCATAAAAATAGTTTAGAATTCATATTTAATTATTGGAATTTTTAATATTTAATCAAAAGTAACACCTACAATTTGAAAAGTTAAAGCATTGATTGATGAAAGATTAGTGATGTTTGATGAAAAGTAATATTAAACATATATACATTATATTATTACTAAAAAAATTGCTGCTACTGAAATTAAAATTTCCGCATGACGCGTTGACAAAGACTGACATGAAGTATACACTTGTATAATACAAAGTACATGGAAACTATTGAAACAAAGTCAATTTAACTAGTTCTTGTATTAACATCATTTGGGGGGGAATGTGTTGTTTCAGTTGAATATGGTTTTTTCATGACCAAAAAATAGATTAGAAAACAGCTTTTGAAATGATCTAAAAAGTTTTTAAATTGGTTATTGATAGAATCGATTTAGAAAATATTATCTAAAATTTATTTGTTTTATATATCTACATATGCACTTTCTCACTCACTCCTCTCTCAAATTTGCTCTCATTTGTTTTCACTTTAAAATGTTGGATTTGAAAAGAATCTTTATAGCTAGATAGAAAATGTTACTATTCAAATAGTCAAAATGTTACAATGTAGAGTTTGGAGAAGAAGAAAATGGAGAAAGAGTGGATGACTTTGGAAGCAGCGTCTTGGAAGTTTCCACGAACGACACAGTGAACACACAATTTTCAATTTGAAACGCACACGCCAAAATCGCACAAACTCATTCATATATGCGAAAAGCAACCGCGTTGAAACTAACAAAAACCACGCAGCAGCGGCACCCGAGTTCTCACCTCCACGAGTATGTATGTGATTACAATGGTCAAACAAATTAAATTATTATAATCTTCTTATAGCGACTAAAATACACACAAAATAAAATGAAAAAAATAAATATAGAAAAAGTAATGTATTAGATTAATAAATAATTAATATTTGGTGGCCTGTTAAGTTTGTAGATGATCACGCGCTTTTGGAATTCCCCTACCCCACACGACGCACAGTGGTTATAAAACCACACACAAGGAACTTCTAGTCTTCCATTCCATCTCTTTGATCATTTTCCACTCTTGTTTTTGCTTCACTATAATCATATTCTTTTCTCACTATTCTTTCGTTGCTACCATGTCGCAGTTGAACGGAGCCTACTACGGCCCCGCTATTCCGGCGCAGAAGTCCTACAACCGCCCAGGGAGGGGCGGTGTCTGCGGCTGCTGCTGTGGCTGCCTCTTCAGCCTCATCTTCAAGCTCATCCTCACGGTAATCATCATCGTGGGTATCGCCGCGTTCCTCTTCTGGCTCATAGTTCGTCCCAACGTGGTGAAGGTCCACGTCACTGACGCCACGCTGACGCAGTTCAGCTACAGCAACAACACCCTCCGCTACGACCTCGCCCTCAACATCACCGTGCGCAACCCCAACAAGAGGCTGGGCATCTACTACGACAACATTGAGGCGCGCGCATTGTTCCACGACGCCAGGTTCGATTCCCAGTACCCGGATCCCTTCTACCAGGGGCACAAGACCACGAACGTGCTGAACCCCGTGTTCAAGGGGACGCATGTGCTGGCTCTCGACGCTGACCAGAGCGCCGAATGGAACAAGGAGAACGCCACTGGGTTGTACCAGATCGATGTGAAGATGTACCTGAGGGTGAGGTTCAAGTTGGGCGTGTTCAAGACCAAGACGGTCAAGCCTAAAGTTAGCTGCGACTTGCTCGTGCCTCTGAAAGGAAGCGCCACCGTCTTTGAAACCACCAAGTGCGACTGGAGTCGCTGATGAATTCGGATCCATTTCGCCTACCCGATCCGACCCGTTTTTGATTCGTCCGTGGCTTTCATATTTGTTTATTGGTTTGTTTTGGACATAGTCGTCGTACTTGTTGTCCTTGAGTTCTGAGCTATTATTATTATTATTTATAGCCTCATGTATACTTTTCATTGCATGTATCTATGTTGACTACTGTATTCTCTCATTCCGTTGGAGGTAGAGGATTTTGGTTTATTCTTTATGTCACACTTGTTATTTGTTCATAAATAAAATTCATTTTTCCCTCTTACAATACTTTTTATTTTGTCTAAAATATTTCTCAACTAATAATGATTGGAAACAAATTTAGTTTTAAATATAAAAATAATAAATTGTGCTTCTTCTAACAAAATCCTTTTTAAACGCATTATCAGAAATAGAACTATTTCTAACAAATGTATTTAAAACATACCATTGTTAGTCCCTTTCTGAAGTTGCCTGCTTGCGACGTAACATAAATCCACCTTCGGATTATGCGTGCCCAAACAGAAAACGTCATGAGGTGTGTACCAGAGAAGATGGAGAAGTGTCTACGCAGGTTTTGACCAGAGTTTTTCTGCAATTAATTTTCGACCATATAACTATATGTTATGGGATATATTTAAAGTAATAATAATTTATATTATTCATAAAAAGATTTGTATTTGTCATTTTTTTTAATGTATATATCTATTTCTCTTTCTTTATGTTATGTAACTGATTTTTTTATTATTTAAAATAATTTTATCTATAATCGTTTTTAAATGTTTTTTAATATAAAAAATTAATCTGTGTATAATCATATTTTCTTCCTATTTTACCATTTATATTATATAAATTTTTTTAATTTATTTTAAAAATTATTTCATTTATTATCATTTATATACTTTTTTAATCGTGGTTATTATTAACATGTTTTTAATGAGAGTTGGACCAACTCGTTTGCGTTCTCTTTGATTCTACGAGGGAAAGTTAATTAAGAAAAAAATAAAGAGAAAGTTGGAAAAATGATGCGTAAATTTTGGTATTTAAAAAAAAATCATGTCTTCAAGAGAAAGTCAGAGAAAGTACTGTTTAATAAATAATTTAAATCAAATATTAGATATATAATAATTTTTCTTTTATAAAAATATATAATTATAATAAATAATTATAAATTAATAAATTAATTAATTAATTAATTAAAATAAATAAATATTTATTTATTTATTTATTATTTTATTAAATTAATCATTTCAATTATATATTTTTATAAATTTTGCTTTCGTTTTCCTTCCTTTCTTATCATTTTTTTCTTAATCCAAACAATATCATTTTTATCTCTTTATCCTCTTAAGTCTACTTATTTTCATTTCCTTAAATTCAACTTTATATTCAAACACAAGCTTAGAATCACCATAGAGAAAAAATAAGCAATATAATTTAAAGAAAAAAAAACAATTATTATAAATTATATATTTTAAAAAATTAAAAAATAGATATATTTAAATAATGGGAATAAAAAATAAAATGAACTTTAAAATAATATTTAAAAAATAATAATTATAAAATAAATATAAACATGATGTTGCATTGGATATATATAATGGGGGAGATAATCATTTTGATGTAATTAGAAAAAAAATATAATATATGATTGATACGATTAGAAAAAAAGAAAAAATATAATATATAATTAGTCGATGACGTGAGATTCATCTAAACGGTGAAAAGATTAAGTGAGATATATTAAAAAATAGAAAGATAAATAAATAATAAAATAAAATAAAAAATAATAATATATATATATATATATATATATATAAACTTATAAATTGAAAGTATAAATTAGAGAATATACAAACTTATAAATTGAAAGTATGAATTTGTGAAATATTGAAAGAAAAAATTAAAAAATCGGATTATTAAATATAAATGAGGATTGAAAGTATTAAACATTGAAAATAATAGAAAACTAAGATATTTAGTATGATAAATAGAGGATGATCTAAGATTAAAAAGTTTATTATTTACTAATCTAAATAAAAAAATTCAAGTTCATATGAAACCATCTACGATAATAATATAATCATTTTCATTTCACTTAATGTCTTAACCTGACTTTTAAGCATTCAAGACATTATAACATAAATAATATGTTTTAAAAGTCATTTAAGATTAAGATTTTGTAATTTAGATTTAAAGGATTTATAAAATATATACAAAAAATTATATTTGAAAGGGTTACAAAAATATAAAGAATTAAATGTATTTAAAAAATATATAAAATGCTCCGTACATCTTTATCCAATTTCTATTGTAATATGCATTACGTATTATTGTAAATTTAGGTGAATCAAAACACATTACTATAATAAGATGAGTTTATTTTTAAAATAATACAGACAATATTTGATACAATCTCTTATTTTTAGTAACCAAATAATTATTATAAAGTAATAATATCATGGTACCAAACTAACATACATAAATAAGAAAATAAATTTAAAATTCAGTATAAAAATGACAAAAAATAAATAAGAAAAAACATAAACTAATAAATAAAAGTTAATTTATTTAAAGAGTTTCCTTTTACACTCTTTTTGTTACAAAATGATAAGAATGATTTTTAGTACCTCAATATTTTCTTACTCTTTTTTTTTTTCTTATTTTTATCCTTTGATTAGGATAAACACAATGAATCAAAATTATCTTGTGTAATTTAAAGATGTTTGCATCCACTTATCTACGTATTATTTGTAATAATAAAAAAATATACATTCTAAGCATGTTTCATCACTTCGTTAATTTTTTTCTCTATTAAACTTTTTCCTTTTCCTTTTCCAATGATTTCATAATAACCGTATCTTTAACTTGTTAACCATAAATGAATATAGACCATGTCGATGAAATTTCATCATGGCAGTGCTATAGGTGAAAAATGTTAAAAAACTCAACAAGTCATCAAATCACTAAAAAAAAATTGTGTATTACCGACGAATATTTACTAACGGATTTGTAGCTGTCAGAAAATAATAATTATCGACGGAAATTACAAATATAAAATATTTGTGGAATTTGATGTTACCAACAGATATATATGTTGATAAAATAATAATTAGTTACCGACGGATATATCCATCGATAAATCAGTCGGTAATTTATAGATGAATTTACCGACGGATATATCCGTCGATAAATCCATCGATAAATTAACAATTAATTACCAACGAGATATTTCAGTCGGTAAATTAACAATTATTTATCGATGGATATATCCATCGGTAAAATTATATAATATAATTTAATTATTCACCTAATTAAAAAATAAAATATTTTTTATTTAATAATTTAATTTAATCATAATTAGATTAATTTATAATAATTTATTAAATTAAATAATTTTAAAAAATAAATATTTAATTATATAAATATATATATATATATATATAAATATATATAAATATATATATATAAATATATAAATATATAAAAATATAAAAATATATAAATATATAAATATATAAATATATAAATATATAAATATATAAATATATAAATATATAAATATAAAAATATAAAAATATAAAAATATATAAATATATAAATATAAAAATATAAAAATATATAAATATATAAATATATAAATATATAAATATATAAATATATAAATTATTTATGTGTGAATTGTTATCAAGAAAATCTAATAGACTTAGTGGTTGGAGTATCAGTCTCGACTTTAAGATCTTGGGTTTGAATCCTGTTAATGACATTTATCTTAATCTCATAAACTGACAAATTTTGACGGTTGATAATTTAAATAAATATTTCTTGTAGTAAACAACATCACGTAGAAAAGGTCAACTAAAAAAAATATTATTGATTGAACAATTATATATAGAGAGTTCTTGAAATTGATTGTAGAAAGTAACAATAAGGCAAAACAAAAAAAATTAAATTATATGTATGTGTATAAACTCTTAAAATAAAATAAAATCATTATATTAATTATTATTAAGATTGGAAAAAAGTGTAAATGGGTTTAATAAAATAATATTCTATATAATGATACAAAGTCACACAAAATTAATAATAATACAATCAACAGAATAGCCTAATGAAAGTTATAGATTTATGATGGCAATTATTTTTTTAATCTTTTAAAATCTTAATTGAACATCCTCAGATTTAATTGTTCTTTAAAAAATTTGAATGAATATCATAATTGTTTAAAAATATTGATTAACTATCATTATTTAAAAAAATCTCAATTGAATACACTAATGTAAATATAAGAACAGCTTAGTACATACTTTTTATTGGAAAAAAAAAACTATATCGAAATTAATATAATCTTTAAACAATAAAGAGATAAATAGGAAAATATTATATAAAGTATTATATAATACAACTTAATATATATATATACATAAAGTCTGTTCCCTAGTTTTTCGTGGATGCCAGTGTAATAACAATGACATATGTGTGGAAATTAAGTAGGGGAAAGAAAAGCAACTCTCGTGTGCTCTCAAACTTGAAGAAATAGTCTTCTTTTTCTTGCAAGAATATCTATATCATCGTTGGATTTAGTTATTGTTTTCGTCAATAGACTTGTCTTTATAGAGAAAAGTTCTTCCCTCTGTAGGAAATGGTGTACGACCTTGTCAATAATACGCTTACTCTAACCCATCATGTGTTTGGTTACCTGCATCAGGTTCCTCGTATTTTCGACTGCTAATTTATTCCTCTGGGTTGCTAGTTTTGGACTTTTGCTCCTCCTAGTTTTATTTTTCATGTTTCAATATTTTCATATTACACTCCAGTATTTTAAAATTATATTTTATTTTTTTAATATATATCATGTTTCTCATCTTTCTTTAATATTCATATTATACATAATATTATTATAAACGGTTTTTACGTTGGTTTTTTCTTCTTTTAAAATAATAATATTATCATCTATGATAATATTTGTTTTTTTTTTTCCTTCTTTTCAAATAAAAAAAAAATCCAAAATATCGAATTAGGTTAAAAGAAAGAAAACATCAATTATAGCATTGCGGGCTAGGACAAGAGAAGAGACGGAGTTCCTCACATCCAAGCACATGGTGACGACGGTAAAGCAAACCAACCATCTTTCTTTTTTCCTTTCGTGATTTGACTCGTACTGCTTCTACGGATCGGATCTATTTGCAATATTCTTTACCATGGAGAGTGATTTAGATTATTAGGGACACCTCCATCATCATTTCTTCTATGAGTTTTACATCTATGGGCTCCCCAGGATTCACGGTTACGATCCTTCGTGAACACGTGCGTTCAATCAACACCTTTTACGAAACTAACCAAGAAGAGTCAACAACATGTACAAGTAGTTATATAATAAGAACAAACAGGATTGGTTGGTACTTTCCTTAAAACGCAGCATTGCATTGCATGTTTTCATGTACTCCTCAATTGTTGTTTTTTTTCTTTTTCGCATTTGCTACAACTGAACAATGCACACACACCTACATTGTTTCAAGCCGTGCAATTGAATACTTTATTGAAGTGAACTAAAAGGAGTTCATCAACTTAATCAATAAGCAAACAAATAAAGACAATCCCATTCATAGATGCACTATTTGAAGCTCACACTTTTTGCTAATGGGTGTGACCTACAACGCAATAAGCCTCAACGTGTGTCCCTTTGATCCATCTCCTGGACATTCCAACCTTTTCTCTCATTTTAATTTTAATTTGTTTCTTCCACAAGTCATGCCTTCTACGAAAGTTATGTGCGGTTCAAATCTTTTATCTACCCTATTTTTTGGAGTAATTAATTTCTTGGAAGCAAATTGCAATCAAATTTCCATTCAAACGCTTACATCTCACGTCTGCTGAAGCTGCTTCCTTCCCCCACGTAATGCATGTTCCGCTTATTTGTACCAAAACCAAATTGTACTTTTAATATTTTGTTGCGTAAATCGTAATTATGTAACATGGATTTTTTTTTTCAATTTATTATTTAGTAGTTAATGATATACTATATTTCTCTTAAAAAATGATATACTATATTTTTAAAATTTTATCGTTAATACTTTCTTAATTCCCGAGATCATGCTTTTATTTTTTATTTTTTATTTTTATATTTTGTATTTATTTAAGGAAAATGATACTGTGACATCTCAAATGGATGAAATTCCAATAAATAACTCTTTTTTTAATATTATAATAATAATTTTATTTTATTTTTATTAAATCATTTTATAGATTATTATATTAATAAGAATTTTAATAAATAACTCTTTTTTAATATTATAATAATAGTTTTATTTTATTTTTATTAAATCATTTTATAGATTATTATATTAATAAAATAATAGTTTTATTTTATTTTTATTTTTATTAAATTATTTTATAGATTATGATTTCTTTTTGTAAAAATATCACCTCTTTTATTTAATATGATATGCTCCGGAATTTTATTCTCTCGAGATTGATCTTGATAGTCTGATTTTATCTTCCAATTCGTGGAAGTTAGTTACAAATGAGCGAAATCACAACCCCAAATTCTTAACCAAAAAAAGGATAAGATATTGTCTCTCTATCCTCGTGAGAGCCGTTGAATTTTAATAGTGAGGTATATTAATTGTAAACTGGTTTGATGAATTTTTAAATTTTTATCGTATTTTTATGTTATCTTACATTCCTTTCCTAAGAAGAACTGTTACTCTGTCGGTGATGATGAAGAGAATAATATACGTTGCTTTGGCATACTTGTACGAAATAGCAAGCAAGGCTCCTTCTGGGTGTGCTCGCTTGATGACAAACAAGAACCGCAAATAATGCAAGAATAAAGAACCCAACACTTTACCTTACCCTCCCCTCCCCTCACATGAAACACAACTTTACGAAACAACCAAAAAATCGCACATGAAATGTATCATTTATTTCAAATCATTCTAAACATTCAAGTCTGTTTCTTCAATCACGTAGTTAAAAAAATGAATAGTTTTTTTCTGCTACATTAACCCAACGACAAATGAATAATAATAACAATAAACGATGACAACTACAAATGATAATTTCCAGTAACTACACTAAGCTTTCCTTTTGCAACTCTGGGGGCCGAACCCGAACCTCTCATTCTCCAAATCATATTCAATGTAGAAATTCTGCTGCTGATAGTTCCCCAAAATCACGGCGGGACCGGACGTCCTCGCGGGACCGGTGCCACCTTCGGAGACAACTGTCAAACACACCACCTCCGAATCGCCGACCAACGAGAAATAATTTGCCACCGGCAGCGTCATTTTGGCGCCGCCTTTGAACTGAAAAGTAAACTCCGGGAAATTCACGGTCTCGGCGCCGGAAATATTAAAACAGGGACTCAACCCAGATTGGGTCTCAACGTCCTTGGCCCTGGAATAATTCCCCAACTGCTTCACAAACTCTTGGACCACTAAATCATAAACGGGTCTTTCCATGAACGTGAATGTGGATCCAGAGTCCACGATGGTGCCGCCGTTACCGTCAGGACCTGGCTCCAAAAAGCTAAACGGAATCTTAACGTGCTGACCCCCGACAATGACCTTTCGGAGGCTAAGATAGTAATACTCCTGGAACGCGGGGTTGTTGACAGAGAGATTGGGGCGAAACGGCGTGTACCTGAGGCCGTTGGTTTTGGTGTCGCCGGTGGAGCTTATTTGTAAAACAAGGTCGCTGTTTTCCGGCGAGTCGTCGAAGCGGTGAGAAACTAAGCAGTAAGAGAATCTCTTGAGGGCCATTTGCGAAGGGAGAGACTCTTTGCCGCGTCCGAAGCCGGCGATGCCGGAGGGTTGGCGGATGGAGAAGATGGAGCAACCGACGAGAAATTGGGGAACGATTTTTGCCGGGAAATTGAGATTGTCGAGGAGTAAGAAGCCCGCGGTGGAACCCGAGCCGTATTGGATAATGTAAGCGGGGCAAGTGAGGGAACAGTTTTGGGAGTTGGATATGCATTGGGGGCAGCGAGATTGAAGGTCTGAGCCGAAGAGGTAACCGCATTTGGGGTTTGTGCAACCGAGGAGCTTGGCGGTGGAGGAGTTCTTGGGAATGAAGGTGGGGATTTTGGTGGGGTCGATGTTGGGGAAGAGACAGTGGGAGCAGATGTAGCGGGAGGTGCAAGGGAACCACACGAGGCTGCTTCCCGTGTCGAGAACGAAGGGGGAGGTTTGGGGTGGGGTTCCGAAACTGAGATTTATGGAGTAGCCACCGTAGCTTTTGGGGTAAACTTGGGTTGCGACGACGAAGGAGGAAGAATTGCGGTGTTTGAGGTGGTGGGCGCGGGTTAGAGAAGCGGAAGCGGCGAGTTTGAGAGAGTGGAAGGGTTCCGATGAGGATTGGGGTTTGGTGAATAGAGGGGAGAGAGGGAGAGTGATGGTGTTGGGGGTGGAGGAAGTGAACGCGGTGTGAGAGACAAGAGTTAGTGATAAAAACAGAATAATGTAAGGAGGAGCCATTTGGTGAAGTGAAGATAATGAATGATGAATGAAGGTTTTTGAGGTCGAGGTTGTTTGTTTCTTTATAACGCAGAAGCAGTGAGAGAGTGTGTGGCACCTAACGGGAAAAGGGGCGTCGGATTGGGTTGGGTTTGTGGCAGTGAGATTTGACCTTGACGGGATGGAATTTAACAATTAAATTAACAAAACTTGGCATCAACGGCTACGGTAGAATTTTGAGCTTCCACGCATCACTCCTTCACATTTCACACTCATGCTACTGACTTTTTCGTTTTGTTCATTAAACGTATCTGGGTAAAATTTACGGTTGAATATTCTTTCACATCTTTATGCTCCAAGCTTAAGAGTTTTTTTATAATTAATGTATGTACTTTCTATTACAGAATGAAAGATTTAGTGTCATTTTATTTTTTGTTATTATTTTTTAATTATATAATAATAATAATAATAACTTTTTAAACCTAATAAATCTCACTCATTTCATTGATATTAAATAAGAACTAAATACTCATTTCATTGATAATGATTTAACAGACCATTAAGATTTAGTGAGACAGTCCTCATCCAGATCATAATGATCACAAAACGTATAAAAGGGCTAAAAAGAAGATTAGCCAAAATCCATCTAATTAAAGATGAATTAAACCCTCATAATTTTGATTATGAGGTTGCCTTTTGTAAGGCTCACATAAAAACTCTAGAACAAGGACTAGAGAAAATAAAGCATTTTGTTGCTTGATATAATCTGTTTTCTGATTGTTTTTCAGGAACAAAAGACCATTGATGGACTCTACAAGCTTTATATAACTTGTTTACTAATGTTTCTTTTGCAGGAACAAGAAATCCAATGATGGATTCTACACACAAAGGGAAAGGACCTTTAGGTCCTAAACCCACAAAATCCCCATTTATGGTGGAAAAATACATGAAGTATGGGAAACAAGAGTTACCCATACTTACAAATTCCTACCAGTTTCCTGGTAGGGAATCTACAAATGTCAAATTAAATGTTTTAATTGACAACATTTGGAATATTCCAAAATACACAGCTCAGAATGAGCAACAAGTCGCTAAAATGAAGCAAAGCATTATTAGCGCATTATACAGTTTCTGCAATGCAGATAACAAGGAAGTTAGGTTGACTTCCGCAACTTCTCCTTCTGGTAAGGGGTTTACACATTATGCCCTAGTTACGGGGCCAAACAAAGGAGTTTATACTTCATACAAACTATAGAAATATTCCACGACTAGACCTAGAACAAGATAGGCCAGTGGAAAATAGGCATAGCACTTCTGCTATTCCTGACAATGAAAACATTTCTATGATGAATATTGTAGAATGTGAAGAAGATGAAGATGATGACATGACTGATGAGGAATGGAATCATCATCAGGCTATCATAGCCATGTTTAGACAATGAACGTCAAATTCTTTGTCCCATACAAATAAAGATGTCCAAATTAATGAAGAAGATGATGTCATTAATAAGATGGACGACATTATAAATGCATTCTTAGATGAATATTTTTCTGATAAAGAAAATGATACATTAGATAATGTATCTAAAGTCTCAGAACCCTTACCCATATTAGGGTTAGTAGACACAAATGATAAAGATACACTGGATAATGTATCTTTAATCGAAGAACCATTGTCTAGGTTAGACAATACAAATAGTGATACATTCCATAATTTCAGAACCCTTATCAACATTAGGGTTAGTAAATATAAATGAGGGATCAAATAGTCATCAACCTCACAGCTATCAGTTACTACCTGATGGCATACACAGCTACTCTGTTGGTTTTTCACCTAGAGTATCACCACAAAACGTTGTCTTTAGTGACAACCAATACACAACATTAGGCAAGAGGCTTCCGATAGAGCCAAATTTCCAAATGCCTAATCTTCTTCTAAACATAGGAGGAATAGATCCTCAACTATTGCCAACATACATTGAGCAATGGACTGCAGCTGTAATCCGTGATTATGGCATACATCATGAGAAAGATGTTCACTCTTCTCAAGAAATGATTGCTAAAGCTGAAACCTATTTAGGTGATATAGCTAGAGCTTGCTGGGAATCTTTTAAGAAATATTACCCAGCCGACTTAAATATGTTTGTGATCGAACTAGGTCCTAACATATACAATTTTTGTTCTTTGTTACAAAAATTGCTTACTTCCCAGTCTGCTAATGATGGGAACACACTCAGACAACATATTTATCTGGGTCATTTGGAAAGACTTTCCATAACATACTTTGGAAAGATCAAAGAATTTTTACAAGATTATCTCATGTATGCATCCATAGCTGGATGTTTCCATGATTTAAGCATTGGAGAAAAGATGTTTCTCAAACTACCAGGAAAACTTGGCCAAAAGATCCGAGAATCCTGGAAAAATGAAGAGGTTACTCCCATGTTGAACAACCTCTCTATACGTATACAACACATCATGAAAGTGATGGAAGATACGTGTACACATATTGCTATACAAAAGCAATTAAAAAATTCCGATGCTGGAATTTGCAAACAAATTTATACTCCTCAGCAGTATAATCAAAACAAGCCTTACAGAAGGCCTATACCTAAAAGTAAACCTAGGTATAATAAAAACTACAATCAGAATTCTTATTCTGAAAGACAAAAACCCACAACTTCTAGAAAGACTTATACGATTAGGTCTTCAAATTCTAGAAAACCAACTCTAAATCCTGATAGACACGTCAGAAAATTTAGAGAAAACAAAACATACAAGCAAGCTTTGAAATGTTTTGCTTGTAATCAACCGGGACACTTCTGTAGAGATTGTCCTAACATTACAAACCTTTACACAAAAGAGGCAGAATTGATAAAATCCTGCCACATGAACCTTCTTCCAATAGATGAAGATGTTTCTACTAACTCTGAAATACTATCAGTGATTAGTATTACAGAGTATAATGATGAAATCAATTTAGACAAAATCCATAAAGATTATGGCCTAATAAATGATTTCACAAATAATGAATTCATTCACCTTTATCCAAATGAAAATGATTTTCAACTGGATAATAAATATAATGAATTAGGAAATATATTAGATGATTATGGATATTGTCTAATGAATACTACAGTTTCTTCTTTTAAGGAAACTAATAAAAGGGTATTGCAGAGTTCCTTCAGTTATACAGTACCAATATGGCAAACCCAATCAACAAAGGCAAGTTACCAGCCTCAACAACTCGAAGAGTTTGATACTCTAAAGTTTGGAACACAAGCATCTTCCGGTTTTACCGAATGTCACCCTCAACAATTCAAATGTCCGAGGAACTCGTCCCGTTTCAAGGGAACAAAAGGTATTACTTGATGCTCTTCATCGAGCTTGTAAGTACAACAACAAAATTTAATGCTATTAATGCATTAAATTATTACTTTGCAAAAATGTTGCCCGCTGTTTTTAAAAAACCCAAGAAAGAGGCCTACTGCCTTTTTACTGGAGACAAGCGTGGCGTCTACCTATCATATCCCTCTCTGTTGAAGGCGATAGGTAATGACAAACACAGCAAATTTCAAGGATTTGATAACCTTGAAAAACCAGTACAAGCGATGGTCAGCTATGTTGGAGGTGACAATAGCCTGTTGGACCATCCTGAAGTTGGTAATTTCATTTTTGAAAAACCAACAAAACAAAATAATTTTTCAATTTATGATTCCATTAAACTTAGACAACGCTTGACTTTTGCTAAGAAAATGGAACAAAAATTGAAAAACTCTTTTTCTTTTCAGAAAAATGATTTTCAAAAACATATTTCCTGTTTGGAAATAGAAAATAAAGATTTAAAAACCGAAATCTTAGAACTTCGTAAAAAGATGGACTATGATTTCGAAACCATTGATTATGGAACTTTTACAAATAAAATGGCCTATGTTGGGTCATTCAAAAGAAAATTTTTGGGACAACTTCCCGGCCCAATCCAAGAAAAAATCTACGAACAGGTTTTTGTTTCCTTGTTAGTAGAACTTGGAGCACTACAAAACTAGTTATTCCAATTACCAGTAGACTCTACACTCCGCCTATACTTGAGGATAGTCCAATATCAAGATGATTCGGCACCCTCATCTTCCGATCAGTACAACATCGGAATAAACCCTTATTTGGTGGAATGTGATCCTGCTTGGATCAGTAAACAATTAACTGAAGATTTATTCTTTTCTGGGTTCATGAAAAGGATGATTATTTTCAGAAACTCTATGATAGAACCATTTTTCGGTACCAAGATAAATTACTGGATAAATGCGTTCTTTCGAAAAAATTACAGTGAGGAATATTTCATTGAAATATTCTCAACACACCCCTACAGCATAAAAGGGGAATATTATCCAGCTAAACATCACTTGTTTCTGGATACTAAGTCTTTCACTGATATCAGTTTCAGTGATAATCTCCAAAAGATTGATCATATTAATCCTCCTTTCACTACAGCGAGGTATGATCAATTCCAGGATGAAGATATCCATAAAGAGCTGTTAGCCGAAACCACCACCATCAGTCTTTGGGTGAAACTTGGCAAAGCTGCTCATGTACGAAGGAACTGTACAAATCCCGCCTCCCCACAACCAATGAGTCTTTCTGATAAAGACGACTTTACCCTTGAAGATTTCGAGGAACTCCTAATGATGTAATCTCCCACGTCATTAGCCCTACAAAGACCATATTGCCCTTGAAGGTTTCGAGGAGCTTCTCATGACGTAAGCTCTTACGTCATACGACTGTATCAAAAGACGACAAAGGTTAATGGCAAATAATGATATCTTGCTACCTTGTCACGATTTCTCTTCCGTTACATGTTGTTAGGCCCATTAAGCCTTGCATGTTAATGACGGTAAGATTGAATCAGTCTTTTGATAAAATGTAAAAAAAAAAAAAAAAAATTGAATGAATGTCACTATTTTTGTCTTGTAGTGACGTTACTATTTTTGTTTTGTTTTTAGTGAGGAAGTTTCCTCCGTAGGATT